TGTGATACAGAATTTTAAAAAACGTATACAAAACTTATTTATAATAATGAAAAAACGTATGCAAATTTTTTATAGGGTAATATTAGCATATCTGTTATGAAATTTATGTTTTAAACAATACAATCAATTACTAAACCTGTAGAAATAAAGATCATAATTTTCTAATAGGTAACTAATTCTAAGGGTGTATTTAATCTATCTAACTGATTCAAATAATACAATAAGAGCAGGACAACTTGCATAGAGGGTAGATTTAATTTATAAGGTAAAATATAGTTTATAATCAGCCTAAATTAGTATAATCTAAAACTATAGGCATCTTAAAAAAATAAAATAAAATTTATTATAAAATAAAGGTTATAAAATATTATGTTAATATAAAATGAGCAATTAATTCATTCAATTAAATGATTTAACATTAAATAGTTAAATAGTTAAAAAATATCTAATTTCTTATGATTTATTATTTTAATTTCAGATCTGAAATAGTATGATATTAAAAATAGATATGTATAAATAAATTGGATATAAAACAATTTATAATTATAAAATAAAATTTCATTAACAACTGTTTAAATTATATAAAATTTATTTTTCTGGATCTTACAATTAAAATGGTTCTTCATTTTATAAACTCCCAAATTTAAATATTATTTTTTTTTTAAAAAAATGACAAATTAGCTGTAATATTATGCAAAATTTAGAAACAATTATATTATTAAAAGAAATATGAATTTATATGCAGCTCGAAATTGTCCATTTTTATATGAATCAATTTTTTTTTGGGTCTAAAACATATAGAAAAAATCTTTTACATAGTACATTACAATTAAAATAGTTCATGCATTTAAATTCTACAAATTAAAACAACTAACTTGCTTTAAAATTTATATAAAATTTAAAAAATAATTATACTAATATGTATAAATTATGTTATTATAAAAATTTGGATCGGGCGGTCGCGACTGTACAAATTTTGATCAAACAAAATAAATGCTAGAATCTTTCCAAATTTATTCAAATCACAATTCAGTTACATTGCAGATTTGAATGTCTAACACTTTCCGTATACCTCGGCACTTATAACATTTACATGCAGATCTAGAAATCAAGAACGAAATATTTAAGACCCGTAATTTATAAATTCCAACTCCTCATCACTTTCTTTTATTCATAATTAAAAGTAATAACAGTATTTACATCATTAAAATATCTGATATTCTAAAGATTGGAAATATTACAATTTTTTCAATTTTACTATGGAACATACTCAAAGATATAAGAGCAAGGGTATGTGAAGAAAAATTTAACTTTTTTCAAGTCAATACCAGATAAAAAATGCTTTATAATGTAGCAAGTCAATATATCATTCAAGAGTAGCTGATAAGTTCTCCATTTGTTTAAAAAAAAAAGGACCAGGAATTATTCTTACTCCTGAAGAAAAGCACGTATATAGCCAACTTTTTCAAGCTGCTGACGAGGATAAAAAAGATGTGATTACTGGAACAAATGCCGTTAAATTTTTTGGGAAATCTGGCTTGCCTGCACAAGTATTGAGCCAAGTATGTAGTATAAAATTCAATGTTTTATTATTTTTAATTTAATCATTGTTAATTAGAATTTCTTTTGTGTTTCTTTTTAGATCTGGCAAATCGCTGATAGTGAAAATCAGGGCTTTTTGACTAAACAAACCTTTAGCGTCGCAATAAAATTAATTGCTCAAGCTCAAAATGGCAAATCATTCGATCCGGCAAACATTAACGCTGGTAAATAAGAATATAGATGAATAATTTACTTAAGTGTATCTATTATAATGTTTTTTCCTGTGTTTTACATACAGACGTACCCCTCCCTCGGTTTGAAGGTGTCTATGTTGAACCGTATCAAAAGTTCAGTGGACCAGATATAGCAACTAATAATATAATTACAAATGAAGATCGCGAAAAATATAAAGCCATGTTTTATAAACTCAAACCAGTAAATGGCATTTTAGATGGTGATTATCATTCTTTCACAAACGTAATAAATGTTATATAACTATATAACCATTTTTAAAATTTACTATTTTAATATTTAATTTCAGGCGAAAAGGCTAGAGACATATTTATGAGATCGAAATTATCTGTTGAAAAGCTTAGTCAAATTTGGTATTTTATTTTAGTGTAAACACATGGAATCTCTTTTATTTTTTCATTATAATTGTATATTAATTTATATAATTACCAAGGACTTTGGCTGACACAAAACGCCGCGGACAATTGGATTTGCCAGAGTTCATAATTGCTATGTCTTTGATACAACAATCCATGAATGATATAACCAAAACACTTCCTACTGAACTCCCAAGTGGATTTTACGAAATGGCATCAGGAATAGTTAAAAGTAGCCCAGCTTCGCCAAAATCTCCACCTTTTTTTGCTAGACATGTGGCAGCTTCAGCTGGTTCACCTAGATCAGGACAATCTCCTGTTATCGGACATGCTTCATTAAATTCAAATATAACGACGTCACAGGATAATTCCTGGGATGTAACTGAAAAAGATAAGGAATCATATGATCGGTTTTTTGATACTCTCGATGAAAAGAAGAGAGGCTTTCTCACAGGTTTTTATGTTAATATTTATAGATGTTAATAATATTTTTTTTTTTTTTGAAAATGATTTTAATTATTGAAAATATATCAGGTGCCGAGGCAGCCAATTTCTTTATGAAATCTAATTTGACTCCAGAACAGTTGGCTCAAATATGGTATCTTCATTGATTGTATTTCTTTAAAAATTAATTCATTGTAAGATTTATAAAATTTATTTGAGCTTATTTTAAAGGGACCTTGCGGATGTTAATAAATCTGGTCGACTTAATCGAGATGAATTTGCTGTTGCTATGTATTTAATTAATAAAAAACTGACGGGTAATCCACTACCTGCAAGTTTACCGAGGAGCCTAATCCCACCATCAATGCGATCTATATCTGGTAACCTTTGACACTTAAATTTATATTTTATTATTGCATTTACAAGGCCTAATTATTGTTTTTTCTCACTCACACACCACACATACATATCCCGAGTAAAGCAAGCCCATTTGCTGATTTAAAACGAGCGTCAACTATAGTTACTGCTGGTAACAATAACCTTGGAACATCAAGTAGATCGCATGCTGCTTCTTCTCAATTAAGCGATTCTGATTTATTTTTTGATTCATCACATCATGTTGCCTCACCTAGTCCATTTTTTTCAAGTACTTCTCAGAGTAAGCATTTATTTATCTTGTTTAAAGAGATTTTAGTTTATAATTAAGTGATCACTTTCATTCATAATTAAAAAACAGATATTGATACAGCTGTAAGCGAAATCGATCTACTTGGTGACACCGATATAAATACTAAGGTGGCACTTGAAAGCGGTGAAATAAAAAATTACAAATTACAATACGATAATTTAAACAATGCGGCTTCCGAGCTCAAAATCAATCGGGAAAACATGGAATCTAATATGTCTGTATTGGCTACACAAAAGCAAGATATGATAATACAGATTTCACATATCCGTACATTATATGAATCAGAAAATAAAGCTATGAGAGAAGTCAAAGCTAAATATGATTTGGAACATGAAAGTGTTGAAAAGGTCAGACAGGAACTTTTAGATGCAGAGAAAATACTTAAAGCGTTACAACTCGAAAGAGAGCAATTACAAATAAATATTCAAAAGGACCGGGATGAAACACTTGATATTGTGAGAAGGATGAGATTCGCAGAAGAAGAAACCGTGACCATTAAAGCTGAGATAGAAAAGCTCAAAAAAGATGAAAGACAACAAAAAGGACGACTTGCTATAAATAGGAAACAATTAATTGCTGCTGAGGGAGATAAAGAAAAGTTATCCAAAACCTTGCAAAGTTTTGAAGATAAAGACTACTCATCACAAGATGCAAATGATCATCCATTTAGTACTGGGGTATTTACATCTCAAGCATTTAATCAATCAAATACCTCACAATCGTCGGGAAATGATTTCAATGAATCGGGTAGCCTTCAAAAATTATCCAATCATAGTCATCATGGTTCTTTATCTTCATTAAGTGGATTTGGTGTAAAAAGATCCACTTCAAATGCATCCATTGCCTCCAATTCAACGTTAGGAACTTCAAGCATCAAATCGGCACCTTTGAATATTACTAAATCAGATGAACCTTCCTTTGATAAACCTGCAACTGTATCAAGTTCTAAACCTACTGAATTTGAGAATCTTTTTAGTGATCAATTATTAAGTGCATCAAAAGAGGTTACATTTACTGCTAATGTTGCAGAAAACAATAACGTTGCAAATCCCTTTGATTCTATCTTCAAGGATCCTTTTGGTGGGCTTGATAACGATAAATCTATTCAAAAAAACGATGAAAGTGTACCACAACAAAACATAGTTAAAGAAATTGAAAAAACTGAAACCGATCCATTTGCATCATTTTCAAACATGAACAATACACCAGCATCTGGAAAGTCAGGTTTTGATTCAACTTTTCCTTCTACATTTGCCGTGTCAAATTCTGATAATTTAAGTTCTGATTCATTTACGAAGGAATTTCCTACTTTGGAAGAAATTGAAGCTTCTGTAACATCTAATTTGGGATTTGATAATGATTTTACTAGTTTCAAAACTAATACCGACGAGAATTTATCGAATCAGAATAATTTGTTTGAGAGCAATAGTTCAATTCAAAATGAGAAAGCCGAAATTATAAATGAAAATAAAAGGGAATCTCAAGAATCTATACCAGTAAATAATGTAGAATTAGGAATTAAGAATGATATCAAAGATACGAGTAATATTTCTAATAAGGAATCCGAATTTCCTTTCGCTATAGTTTCTGATTCAGGAGAATCACACGAGACTATTCCACCAGTTCAAGATGCTGAAACTTGGGTTGCTATAGAAAGATCTGCTACAAATACTGCTACACCACAGGATGATTTTGATGCAGCCTTTGGTGATTTAACTGAAGCCAAAGTTACCAAAACTCCACCTATACAGTTTGATGCTGGACTTGATGATGGGGATTTTGAAGAAGATGTTAATTTTACCTTTGATGTTCCTTCAACCCCCGCAACCCTTAATAACACTGCCACAGCCTTAACAACTGATGGTTTTTCGAGATCATCTACAAAGGATTTTGATAAAACATTTGATGATTTTGATCCATTTTCACCTCTTGCGGTGGCTTCTAACAAGCCTAAATCTAATTTGGATGCAGCTTTTGGTGATATTTCTACTCAACCACCTAAATTAAATTCTGATATTGGTTTTGACGATGCCTTTGCGGAACTTATTCCATCTTCTAATACTGATAACCAATCCACTGCATTATCAACAGCATCTCAAAAAAATTTACAGTTTACTGGGGTGGCTTCAGATGATATTGATGATGTAAAACGACTTTTAGATTTTGGTTATTCCAGAGATAAAGTTATTGATGCTCTTGAACGCAATAATTATGATTTTGAAAAATCAGTTAATTTTCTGGTCGATAATTGTTCATAGAATCATTTTGTTTAAATTTCTAAGTTATTAAATATTATTACGATAATATAAAAAAATATTACTATATATAATATGCAAATTTCATTTTAAATATTTAAATTCATTTCATTCAAACAACATTATTTATAAATAAAATTTTATGGACAAAATTTTATCATCTAATTTTGAAAATTTGAAATTTGAATAATTCTTCTCGTGCCTGTACGCTTGCTCTAATTACATAAATTTGTCATCTAGGGTTTTCATCTTTATGCAATTGCAGGTCGTATATAGATGAGTATGATCAATTCATTTTACGCGTTAAAATTTGGTGAAATGAACGATCATGAATATTTCAAAGAAAAGTCAAAAGATGAATCAATCATTATACATATGAATACGAAAATTAAAAATTACGAGTTCTAGATATCAAATACAAACCATCGCTGACAAATGTATTTCAACTTTAAGAGCGAATTAAGTGATTTGATTTTCAAGGACCTAAAAACAAGCGATAAGTATAATTTATAATAAAACTCGATATGATTTATTTAAATATTTTTTATATTTATTATTCAGATATACAGTATATATATTTTTTTTATTATCAAAAAGTAATTTAATTTTATTATAGCTAGTTTAATAATGTATTATAAATGAAAATAGGTTTTGAGAATTTTAAAGGATTTAATTTTTGAAGATACTCTTTGTTGGAATAGATAATACCTATTATTCAACTTTTTGATGTTTTTAAACATTCTTTTAGGATCCTTTTGTTTGTTATTCTTATCTGTTATAATTCAAAATTTATCAAAGATTTCTTTTGAAACTTCAAAATAAAGTCCAATTATTTCTTATAATATTTATCAAATACTTTATTTAATAGAATGATCTTTTGATATGATTAATTGAAATAACAATCTGGTATTATTATAAATTTATAGCAGAAAAATTGGATTTATCAGACAGATATAATGAATTGTTCTTTATTATAAAAGAATGCTATATAATTATTTGTAATAATAATATTTTTTATAAAAAAATTTAAAAGTGATATATAAATTGCATTTTTTAAATATTTAATAAAATTAAATTTTAGACTTTTTTTTTTATTTTTAGTAATTTTTTTATTAAAAATTAAAATCATTATTGAATCATTATATTTTAAGAAATATCTCTTATAATTTATAATTTAAAGATATTAAGATTAAATATATATTTTAAAATATTAAAACTTTCATTTCTATAATATTGAAAGTTTATTATATTTTATCTTTTTCATATTTAGATATATTTGTTTTATAATGAGTTAAATGAAATTTTAATATACAGTCAACTCTTATTATAGCGAACTCTTGTTATAACGAATTTTTTGAACAAATATAATAAAAATACTCTTGTTATAGCGAATTGGCCAATCAAATCTCTTAAAATCTTCACTATAGCCTTATAGCAAAGTTGAGGTCTAGGACATAGAGTTCGTTATAACAAGAGTTGACTGTAATTACATTTTCTTTAATATAAATAAGCAATTTTTCAATATTTTTTAAAGTTTTTTTAATTCAATATAAAGTAATTATAATAATTTTTTTTTTTATTATTTCTTAAATTGTAAAGCAGGCAAATTTTTTTATAAACATAAAAAAAAGTATTAAATTTTTAATAAAATATAAAATATTAATATTAATAATATAATTATTATATAAAAAAAATAATTTAATATATATTTTATCAATTTTATTAGAAAAAAATTAAGTTATTAAAAGTTTTTTAAATAATTTAATGTTTAAAATTAAGTTTTAAAAAATTTATTATAATATTATTTAAAAATTTTTTTAAATTCATATGTTTATAAACTAATTGAATCATTTTACTATTAATAAAAACATAAATTTCTTAGTAAATTATAAAAATTGTAATAATTAAAGTTATTCTTTATGATAAATTTTATAATATTTTATTATAATTAATATTGCTAAAAGGAAATGTTAATAAGATGGTTAAAGGTCAATGATAAAATCTTTTTAATTTAAAATTTTTTTTAAAAATTACAAATTTTTAGCTTATAAGTAGTCTTAAATTATTTATATATAATTAAAAATAAAATTTACTATAATATATATATATTTATAAAATTAATTAAAAAAAGAATTTTTTTAAATTTTAATTTTTCATAAAAATAAATAAAAAGGGAATTTATAGTAAATAAGTAGGAAAATTTGTCTGTAAATCTTTACAGTTTAAGGGATAATATTATTTAAAAATTGTATTTATAAATTATATTTTAATACATTATCAATTTTATAATAATATTTAATTATTATTTTTTAATTATTATAAGATATATAACTTTGCAGTATTTTAAATAATTTATAATGATATGAAAAGTATAATAATAATTATTTTATCAAAATTCTGAAAAATTTATTTTAGTAGTATATATTAACAAGTTATAATAATTATTAATTAAGAATTATAATTAAATATATTCATAAAATTCAAATAATTATCAAAATAATATTTTTTAAGATTTTAAAAATAATAATAAATATTATAATTATTATTTGAATTTTCTTTTATAATATAGATAAATATATCAATTTTTTTCTTTATATTATATTAATAATAAATATTTTTCATATTTAATAAAGATTAAGCATTTTTTACTTCAGTTAACAATAATTAAGCTTTTATTATAAATTATATTATAAAATTCAGAACTCAGTTGAGACATAAAATAATATAATTTTTATAAAAATTTTATTTGTAACTGAAAATGTAAAATTATTTACTAATATGTATTGGAAATTAGTTGATTAATCTATTAATCAATATTAATTATACTAAAATATTATGTTAAAAAATATATAAATATAAATAAAACTAATGATTAATAAAACTTAGTTCTATTGATAAATTTATAATAAATAAAATTACATTTTCAAATAGAGAGACTCTTACTTTATAAAAAAAAAATTAATTAGTAATTAATAGATTAGATATCTTTTATAAAAGATTATGATAATAATAGATTATATTAAATGTTATAATATTATTTAATTGATCTATTATTAGAGATAAAGGTTAAGTTTAATTTTTAAGTATATTTAATAATATAAGTATAAAAGTTACTTGATCTAATAAGTTTTAGAGATTATTGTAATTATAGTAATAAAGTTTGATTAAATATTAAAAATTTAAACTTTGATTTTATTCAGATCTCAATAGATATTAATAAGTTAAAATCCTAATAATTGATAATTATTATTATAATGAAAGTTAAAAGCTATATTATGTTAAATTAATTTTTATAAATACATTTTTTAATTATTTTTATACACTTAAAAAAAAAGTATTTTCTTATATATTAAATTATATATATCTTTATATACTTTTCTAATAAAATAGTTTAAATTTTTAATTATATAAAATAATTTATTATTAGATTATTTAATAATATTATTTTCTTTTACTGATAATTTATATAGATTTTAACTAGCTGTTAACTTGATATTTTATAATAAAAGCAAATTATATAATATCATACAAAATTTCTAAAAAGAAAATATTTTTTTAAGAAATATTTTTCATTTTTGAAAATTTGTATAATGTTATAATATTAAATATTTTATTTATATATATATTCTAAATATAATTATTACATATGAATTTTTTTATTATATATATAGATTAAGTTTTAAAAAAAATTTTAAAAGTAATATTATAAAATATAATAATATTATTAATATTTTAATAATAATATTATTAATATTTTAATAATTATAAATATTATATTTTAATGTAAATTGATAAATTACTAATTAAATTATATTTTGACAGATATAATTATTTTATTAATAATTTAAAATAAATGTTGAATTGGTGTAATTAATTTTTGACATTATTAAAATTAATTAGTACTAAAGTATAATAATAAAATTATTCTATTTTTTATTTTTATAGTTTCTTTGATTTTGAAAAACTTTTATTTAGAAAATTAAGATTTAAAAAAATAAATAAAGAAAAAAAGTAAAAATGATTTTAATTAGTTAAAGTTGTAAATGATATATCAAATATTCAAAAAAAAATAAAATTAGTTTTTATTATTTTATTTTGTAAGTTTATTATTTATTTACTTTAAATTTTATTTTATATTTCTTTTTTATAAATTATTTATATTTTTCTTAAATTTCTTCAATTTTACTTTTACTTTTTTAATGATTTAAATATAAAGTTTAATAAGTATCTAATTTATTAATATTTGTTATTTTTTTAAAAAATTTTAATTACTATAAAATTTAATATATAAGATATTTATTTTATTTATAAAATAATAAAATTAGAAGATTTTTTATATTATGTAATATTTAATTTCATTTAAAATAATAAAAAAGATATAATATTATTTTAAAAACTAATTATTAATGTATAATTTTTTCATCAATATTTTATTTATTATTTTTTAAAATAAAAATAAAAATTTTAAGATTTATTATATTAAAATATATTTAGTTAATAAATTATAAATTTATTAAGCCTTTATAAGTTTTAAATATTTAAAATATATCAATATTTTCTATATTATTTTATATTTATCTTTTTTTTTCTGTTTTATTTGATTTTTATTATTAATATTATTATCTTTTTTAATCTTTTTATATAGAATTTTATATATTAATGATAATATCTATTTTATTTGTTTTGCAAAACATTTGTAATGAAAAGTATAATTATATATTAATATATTAATATTAATCTTTAGATTATTTAATAGGCAAATTTATCTGCTAATTTAAAAAAATGTTAATTTTTTAATAAAATATTAAATATTAATTTAATAACATAATAATTATATTAAAAATATAGTTTAATATATATTATTAATTTTATTAGAAGAAATTTTAAATTTATAATAAGTTTTTAAATAATTTAATTTTTAAACTTAAGTTTTAAAATTTTATTATAATAATTTTTAAAAATTTATATGTTTACAAACTAAATATATCACTTTATTACTAATAAAAGTTATAAAATTTCTTAATAAATCATAAAAATTATAATAATTAAAGTTATTTTTCATGGGTAATTTTATAATATTCTATTGTAATTAATATTGCTAAAAGTAAATGTTAATAAGATTGTCATAGGTCAATGATAAATTTTTAATAAAAATTTTTTAAAATTACTTTGATATAATATATATTTATAAAATTAATTTAAAAAATTTTAATTTTTCATAAAGTAATCAGAAGGGAATTTTAGTAAATAAGCAGGTTAATTTGCCTGTAAATTTTACAATCTAAAAGATATTTTCTTTTTTATGTAAATATATAATTTTGATTATAATAATTACAAATATTATAAATTACTAAAAAAAAAATAAGAAAAAAGTAAAATTAAATACTTACAAACTAGAAATCATAAATCTAAATTATTTTTTAATAAATATTTAGATCATCTTTTATCACAATCTTTAAACAACATAAACCATATTGTATTCATTTATCAATTGCGAACCAATCAAAATTAATAATTATTGTGATATTTCAACCAATAAAATCGCAAGTTTTTAAACCCTGAAGATATTCATTGATCACGTTGATCCATTCAATAATTCAATAATATTGCCATTGAACAAATAACCATTTATATATAAATTTTCCATATAAGGAATGTTTTGTTGTCGATTGCGATAGTAAAAAGAATTATTAATTTTTTTACCCAAATTATAGGTATTTTTTTTTTTATTTCGAATCGTCCCTTTACTCTTTTTATTAATATAGTAAATTATTGCGAAAAACTTTCAAAACATGTTAGAAGAAGTTAATAATAGTGAAGGAAATGATTTTTATTCAATCACAGTATTTACCTTTTCAACAATATTAAGTTGGTTCTTTTCATTAGTATCTTATATAACCATAACTTTATCCTCATGGATACTACGAATCCTTTCATGGTCGTTTACATTACGATTAAATTTTATCACATTATTAATAATTTTTGTAATCGTGATAACCATAACATATTTAATTGTTAGATATCGTATATTGACGAAATATTCCCGACTTCCAACAGAAACGACAGCAACTAAACAAGGTTCATACGATTTACATCCAGCACTTGATGGAGAGAATGTTAGTAATATTAAGCATTATCCTGATGAATTCCTTAGCATGTTTTTGGAAGGTATTAAAATATTTGGATATTTGGAAAAACCAGTTTTTCACGAGTTAGCAAGACATTTGTCTACTAAAAAGTTATTGGCGGGAGAAAGTTTAATGTTGGAAAAAGAAAGAAGTTTTTATATCGTCGTTGATGGATTTGTTCAAGTATTTGTTAAAACGGCTAATGAAGAAGATATTGTATTGGACCCTTTTGAAAGTGATGATTATAATAGAGGATATCAATTATTAAATGAAGTTACTAATGGTGGGACTTTGAGTAGTTTATTCACCATTCTTAGTTTATTCACCGATGATATCGATATAAGGTACGATGATCCCGAACAGAGACAAAATGAAGAAAAGAAGGAAGCGAACGTAAAAGGAGAAAACAATATTGGAGAATACTGTGAAGAAGAAAAGGGAAATAATGAAAAGGTTGGAGAGAAGACTGAACAAATTCGCTCACTAGAAGATGGTGGATGGTCAAATGCTCGGCCATCACCGGTTGATACAAAAAGTGAACGGAGTACAAATTCACGCAATTCAGCTTCTTATACAAGACCAAGTATATTACGAAGATTATCAAAGGAATTGGCAAACACATCCGTTAATCCTAATATAACAGCAAGGGCAACAGTTGATACTACATTAGCAGTAATACCAGCAGAAGCATTTCACAGATTAACGGAGAAATTTCCAAAGTCTGTGGCAAATATAGTTCAAGTTATATTGACGCGTTTTCAACGCGTTACACTTTGGACGGGATACAAGTATTTGGGATTAACAAAAGATTTATTAAGAACAGAGAAATTAATGAATGATATAGCAAGTTATGGACTTTCTAAAGATTTCTTTAAAGCGGGAAGTATGGAAAGATTACGAATGAAATTTGTTGGAAATAATAAAAAATATCATCCAAGAGAGATCAGACATCATGATATGGATATGAGCGATAGTGGATTAATTAATAAAGCGAAGAAGACTAAATCATCTTTTAGACCTAGAATCGATGTAATATATGAAAGCGACACAAAGGCTACTTCATCAATTGGAAAAGGAACAATTAATATTAATAGATATAATAAAAGCAACAACAATAAAAATAATAATAAACCATATTTGGCAACACCTTTATCGCCAAATGCTAAAGCAAAAGTACAACCGTCCAATGGATCACCTACTAGTCCAACTAGCAAAAAAGATTATGATACAGAAGATGATTTGTATCTTAGAGAATCTGTACTCGAAGGAATTTCAAAGGGTATTGGATTACTACAAAGTAATAACAATAGTCGAAATGCTACTACTGTGACTGGTTGTAATAATCAACAACAGAATTCAAGACATAATTCACTTGATTCAAATACATCACAAGAACTTGGGACTAGTGGTTCATATAGTAGTTTGGCTACTTTATTGAATATTTCAGATGATGATTCGGTGGCGGAAACCATCTCTTCAATGACTAGTGAATTAGATAATGATGTTGAAATATTGTATTATCAAAAAGGTAGTTTATTAGTAGAGGAAGGAGAGAGGAATGTAGGATTGTTCTTTGTCATTGATGGATTATTGGATGTATTTGTCACGTCTAATGAAAATAACTTTCTTAACAAATATTCAAATCTTTCTGCTTCTACAAAGGGTCATCATAAAAAGAAAGATTCTAATAATAATAACGTTAGCCTTAATTCAACTACTACTAAAGACAAGAGTTTATTCATGATTAAACCAGGTGGTTTGGCAGGATATTTAGCTGCACTTACCGGGTTTCATAGTTTCGTTAATATTAGAGCGAGTACAGACACATATGTTGGATATTTATCTAAACAATCATTAAACAGATTAATGGAAAAAAATCCCAACGTATTATTAACATTAGCCAAAAGATTAATCACATTATTATCACCATTATTATTACATATCGATTTTGCTTTAGATTGGGTTCAAGTAAACGCGGGACAAGTATTACATCGCGAAGGAGATTCTAGCGATAGCATTTATATAGTATTAAATGGACGTGTACGTACAATTAATGAGAAAGCAAATGGTATTATTGAAATTCTAGGTGAATATGGACAAGGTCAAAGTGTAGGAGAATTAGAAGTGATGACAGGTGCACCCCGTCCATATACGCTTCATGCCATTCGTGATACAGAATTAGCACGTATGCCAAGAACGCTATTTAATGCTTTAGCGCTTCGACATCCAGAAATTACCTTACATATATCTCGTATTATAGCATCACGTACGCGAGTACAGCAAGAAACCGATTATAACAATAATGAATTTGGTAAAAATAATACCAATCTTAAAACAGTATGTATTTTACCTGTTAATGGTAACGTACCTATAACAGAATTTGCAGAAAAATTAAAAAATGCATTGGTTAGGATAGGCGAAAATACCACACTATTAAACCAAGAAAGTGTTATTAATGTATTGGGTAAACACGCATTTAATAGAATGGGAAGGTTAAAATTAATTAGTTGGTTAGCTGAACAAGAAGAAAATGTTAGGATTGTATTATATTTAGCAGATGGAGGAAGTAATTCTTCATGGACTCAAACATGTATCAGACAAGCAGATTGTATATTATTAGTTGGAACGGGAGATGATGATTTTTCAATAGGAGAATATGAAAGTTTTTTAATAGGAACAAAAACCACGGCAAGAAAAGAATTGGTTTTATTATATCCAGAAAGGAATTGTACTCCTGGATCAACAAGAAATTGGTTGAAGAATAGACCTTGGATTCATGCTCATCATCACGTATCAATGAGACTTAAGCCACCAATTCTTGATGAAAAGTCAAGAAAAAACACATTAATGAATATTAAAGATCAACTACAAAAATATTATCCAAAACGCATACCAAAACGATCACCTGCAACTTATACCGGTAATCGAAGTGACTTTTCTAGACTCGCAAGAAGACTTGTGGGTAAAAGTATTGGGCTAGTATTAGGTGGGGGAGGTGCAAGAGGTATTGCGCATATCGGTGTGATCAAAGCATTTGAGGAAGCAGGAATACCAATTGATATAGTCGGGGGTACGAGTATTGGAAGTTTTATTGGTGGATTATATGCGAGAGACTCTGATAACGTTGCAATTTTGGGTAGAGCCAAGGCATTTTCCGGTAGAACTAGCAGCAAATGGAGACAAATAATGGATTTAACTTGGCCGAGAACTGCTTGGTTTACCGGTCATGCGTTTAATAGGGGTATATGGAAAAGTTTCAGCGATACGCTAATTGAGGACTTTTGGTTATCATATTTTTGTATCACAACCAACATTACTTGGTCACGCATGGAAGTACATAAAGCCGGTTACGCTTGGAGATATATTAGAGCTTCAATGTCATTAGCTGCTTACCTTCCTCCTTTATGTGAAAATGGAAATTTGTTAGTTGATGGTGGTTATATGGATAATTTACCTGTTGGCGTTATGAAATCGATGGGAGCAAATACAATATTCGCTGTTGATGTGGCAAGTCATGATGATACATCACCTGTTTATTATGGTGATAGTTTATCGGGATTTTGGGTCTTATTAAGTAGATTCAATCCATTTTCTAAACAAACCAATATCCCTACGATGACTGATATTCAATCTAGATTAGCTTACGTTAGTAGTGTTAAAACGTTAGAAGAAGCAAAAAATACGCAAGGCTGTTTTTATATGCAATTACCTGTACAACAATTTGGTACTTTAGAATTTAATAAGTTTGATGAAATTCTAAAAGTTGGTTATAAATCCGGTAAAGAAATGATAAAAAAATGGAAGGATGATGGTAAATTGAATCATTTGTTAGATCAGAACAAATCTGATGACAAAAGGAATAGAATTCGTAGAAGAAACAGTGTATAATTCTGGGCAAATTTGGGGATTTAATTTACGATATATATTTTTTAAACTATTTCAAATATTTAAATGCATATTTCACATTTTTTAATAAATTACCTTATTATAATTAAAACGTTCATTTTTGGTATTGAAAATGTCGATCATTATTATGCCGATCGCGCTGCAAATTGCTTTTGAAATATTTTCCTCATGATGATCTGATAAAGTTGAATATACGATGTATTCAAATGTAGGTTATAGAGAAGGGCCACAGTGGTTTACTAATGATACTTTACTAACAAACAGACGTTTCTCTGCTCGAGGAGTTAACGTCGAGTCAAGCAAACATCAATTAAGAGGAATTATCAATGCCCTGAAGCATGCCACAAAAAGTTTACCTATAGAACAGCAACTCGTCAAATTTTCTGAAATTCCTAAAACGCTTGATGAAACACCTACTCCAGATATCATTCATGGTACTTTGTTGTTTTTCGCAGAACGGTTCAAAGATAGGTTGAGTATTGTTCATATATTTTAGTTGAATATTTTAAAAATAATAACGAATTTTCTTTCAAATGAAGCGATCACAATGTAATACGCCGTTGTATCCTTAAAATCCTTAAAGATAGCGAAAAACATATTTCACGAAATTCACAAAGTTCAGAACTTGATCAAACCATAAGAAAAATCTTTTTCTTATTAGAAAATCAAAGTAATGACCCCATTGCACGCGCTCTTACATTACGGTTGGTATTTTCTTAATGATATTTGATCGTGATTTATATTCATCGATTAATAATATTTTATTTAAATTAGATGCCTTGGTTGTATGTCGGTTTTATTAATAGAACGACTTGATATACAACATGGGTAAATTAGCATTTATTACTTTTTTTCTAAATCATATTCATTCACGATGTTCAAATTTTTATTTTATTTTATTTTATAGAATTCTACAACGTTTAGATTCATCTGTTGAAATCGAAGCGAGCGCTGCTATTTTTGCTGCAGACAAGTTATGTTCAAAGACTGAAAAATTCTCAGCTCTTGCTTATGAGAAATTTGTCACATTGCTCCAAGGTATTAGCATATTCTGCAGACTTTTACAAACAATATATTAATTAATTAAAATTAATTTATTCTTATTCCATTGAAAGCTAATAATGTTTCCTTGGCCTTCAAGACCAAATTGATACGCGTCTTTCGTCATATGCATCGGGATATCAATTTGGCTCGTAAGGTAAGTAAATTCTAACTCTATGCTTTATCTTTTCTTATTCAATTAATTATAGTTAATTTTTATTATCCAGACAAGAATTATATGCCTTCAATTACTTAAACAATATCCTGACGAAGAATTTATATTGACCATATTGAAAACATTGACATTCTTATCAAATCGTGCACTTGTCGATAGAACCGATCATGTGAGAAATTATATTCCAAAATTTGTTATTTGAGTGAATTGCAAATATTTGTCTAAATAAGTAAATAAATAAATATTCTTATCATTTCAAGATTTCATTTCCTTAGATTAATTTATTATTCAAATATGTACAAGATGATCCTCGTGAGCGTGTTAAGACGAGTTCTTTAGCATATTTAATTAAAATCGCACAAAAGGATTTGACTTTTGAAACTTCACATGTCTTGGTAAGAACTTCCTTAACTTGATTTCAAAAGATATTATTGTACCTATATTTCAATATTAATGATTTTAATGTTATACAGATACTGTTGAATATAGCGACTAGTGCTGCGGAACTTAATGTCAAAACCAAAGCATTACGTGTTTTGACCATATTGTTTCAACAAACAAGACTTCTTGGTGAAATTGTATCAATAGATACAGAGCAAGAAACTCGTATAGAAGCACTTCATTTTATCCAACAATGTGAAGAAATGATACAAGATAAAATCATCGAAGTCAATGTTGTCGCAGTAAAATTAATGTCCGTGATAATTATTGAATCAAAAAGAATTGAATCAATATCAAATATTTTGATCGGTTCAGAATGGGGTGAGCTATGATAATTGATCAGCTAATGAAAATATATGTATTCATAACGTTTACGGAATTTAATTTTTTATAGAAACTTATTTTAGCGATCTCTGTAAAAAAATTGCAAAGTTAATATTGTCGAATTTAATGCAATTAGTATCCTTTAATCAAAATGAGCGCAACAAATATGTTAAGATGGTAAATGTTTTAAATTATAATAATAATATTATAAAACATTTTTTTAACAAAACAATTTATTTAATTGTAGATACAAGAATACTTGAAGTGTTTATTTTCAATTTGTCAGGCTGATAACGATTTAATCAAGGATGTTTCTAAGATGGTTATCAATGTATTACAAGATTACATTGAATCTAATGATGGTAATTTTTTTAATTTTAACTAAATGTTTTCGAAATTAATCTAAGTAAATTTTTTTTTAATTAAGATGAGATATTTGCTCAACTATCCAAGTTTTTCATGAAGATTGCCGAATATAAAGGCTCATTAATACAAGAGTTAAGAGATGATATATTTTCCCTTATGAAATGTCACGAGCTTATTGATATGACTCGTTCTTTCGTAAGTTTTTTATGGAAGCCTTATTTTGTTATAACTATATTTTTAGAGATTAATTTCTATTATATATCCCATATTTTCTTAGACTATGTTGGCAAAGACAGTTTTAAAAGTCCGTCCTGATAATGTAAAACAAGCAAGAGAATTTAAGGAATCTTTCATGGAAAGAATCAATCGATTTGGAAACCTTCAGGACGGAAGATATATACAGAATCAATGGGATATTTATTTAATTGGACTAGAAGCTGGAAAATCCGGATGTTGTTCGATTATGGGTGCCATAGTGTTTAATTTTGTAAACGAGGTAACTTATTTATTGCAATTAATTTTTTTTTTTTTTTTTTTTTTGAGAATTTTCAGTAAAACCTCATTTAGGTGGATGTCGAGGCGCATCGGTTTTGGCTTAGAGCATTGAGTAATGCGTCAAACGCTGAACAAATGATTTTGGATAATATCGATAAAATCCAAAGTCAGCTTGATCTATTTGATGAAGGCGTTAAGTACTATTCGAAATGTGATACTGAATTAAGTGTTTGTAAACATACCTTTATCTTTTTTTTTTTCATTTTTGTAATTATTTAATAGACAGCATTATTCAACTTTATTTTATAGGGCTTGATGTCTTTGATTGATAATAATGGAATTCGTGTCTTTGGAAAATGGTTTTGTCAACTTAGAGCAAGGTTCTTTTCCACTATGAAGCTTATTCTAGCTCAGTTAAATTTTTTGTCTTCAAAAACGGCGGGTTTATTTGATCCTGAAATTGTATGTATTTTATTATTATCATTTTTTCAACGATTTTGACGTTTTGTTAAATATTAAATGTGTCAATTTTTGTTTTTTTTAAAAAAAATATATGTATAATTAAGGTCAAGATAAATGAATCTTTAGTATTTTTGGCTCGTATGCACAACTTTGTGGCACATTCTTTCTTAGATATTGATTCCGAAAGTTTAGAAATTCTAGAATCATATCAAATATGTTGCTTGGTGTTATCATATGCTATACAGTGTCTTCTATTTCAAAGGTATATTTTAATTATAAATCACGTAATGGATTTCTGAATTAACTTATCCTCATTTTTTATTAGGGAAGAATCTATTGATCCTTTACTAATTCCATTGATTCGGCTAGCACGTTGTAACATGAATGATACCCTTTCTGGACAAGTTAACGATATGAATTTACGAAAAAATAAAGTACAATATGTATTACGGTCAAGATGTGTTGAAATTTTAAAAGATATAGAGATGATTCGTCGTAATAATGAATCAATTGTAAGAATTATTAAATTGAAATAATTCATTTAAAAAAGATAAAATTTTTATATAATGTTTTTATTTATTTATTTATAGAATATAGTAGAACGATTAAGTAAATTTGTTCTTTTCATTTTAAGTGTTCCGATAAATCTTCCACCATTCTTCTTTGAAAACAAAAAAGGAACTTATATTAAGGTACGTTTTAGTTGAAAACGTTTTATTTAACCAATCGGTTGTTTATTTAATCTTCAATAATTTAAAATAGTGGAGTAAAGTACCTGCGTTAGGATGGAGTCAACGTGGAAGCAGAGTTTCTTCAACGACCATATCAGACAGAGAGAAAGTTGTTATTAAATTAGAAGGAATTTTGAAATTAGCTAAGAAATCAGGTAAAGTTAATTAATTACATACATAACATACAACAACTTTATTTATTTTAACTTAATCTCTATTATCATTGTAGCCAAGAAACATTTAAATAACATTCAGTTTATTATTTTTGGGTCAAAAGCTGATATGTTTGAGTTTGAAGAATTTGAAGAGACGTTACAAGGGAATTTCTCCTTTTCTAATTTAGCGTTGGATTATAAAGGAGGGTATACGAAAAAATCCAAGAAGGTATTGTTAGTTTATTTATTTACTAAAATTTTTATTAAGATCCTTAATATATATATATTTTTTTTTATAGGATTCCTCAGAAATGTCTACCGTTACAACTATTTCAGTGCCAATTACCAATTATTATTTTACCACCACCGCTTTAGTTCAATTTCCTAGGGATTCCGATAGTATTGGATTTCTTAATGTTCATACTAGAATCGTTGACAATAAAAATATCGTATGGACGATTGGTCCCGATTTGTAAGTAATTAAAATTATTTATTTGTTATTAGTTGGGGTTATATGCATTCTAATAAACTAATATTTCATAGAATAATATCTCCCCCTCCAGAGTATCAAAATAATAATCAATATTAAAAAATATGTTTTTAGTTAAATGAAGGATGAGTGATTGATGAACTTATCATTATTAATTATAAGTTGAACGTTTTCAATATACAATATATGTATATAAAAAAAAAAAAAAAAGGTTGTTTGAATCCAAACTTTCATATTCAATTTTTATTTCATTATTTGATACAATTGTTTATTTTATATTAGTTACGTACGATTTTATATTG